ATTATTATTATTATTATTATTATTATTATTATTATTATTATTATTATTATTATTATTATTATTATTATTATTATTATTATTATTATTATTATTATTATTATTATTATTATTATTATTATTATTATTATTATTATTATTATTATTATTATTATTATTATTATTATTATTATTATTATTATTATTATTATTATTATTATTATTATTATTATTATTATTATTATTATTACTAATTATTCCATTGTTCTCGTTGGACATGGGTCTTCAAAAGAGTATTATTGTAAGAACTCGAAATCGTATTCCTCCTTTTCAATCAATTCGATATTTTTTGCTGCAGGCTTTTCCGGATCCTGATTATGTGATATATGGATTGCGTGAGGATAAAAACATCCTCCTTTTACCGAGCGATATTGCAAATAATATTTCAACGTGAGCACTTCTCTTTCTTATTCAAAACTAAATCATTTTTTCCTGAAATTTGAAATAATTTAGTCTAATTAGCAAACATTTAATTGGAAATAGATTGAATTTATAATGCTTTATATCAATCATTTAGAAGGAGGAGGAGTAGAAATTAAAGATGTAAAAGTTGCCGAGGGTAACTCAGATATTGCTAATTTATTTCTCCATATCTGACTTCTGAATTGGAACGCTCTACTTCTCATCTTTCCCAACTCCCAACCTTCTGTCCTAATAGAGAAGGTACTCGAAAATTTTTTCACCTTAGAATTTCTGGGCTACTTATTAATCTAATAAGCTGTTTAACCAGTCAGTTAGTAATAAGTCACCTTACACTTATAAAATTATGATATTGATATGATTGTTAAAGGGACAAAAAGCTGCCAAGTTTGCTAGACGATAACCTTACTGGGGGACAGGATATTGAACATTATAATGTAAGTCCACTTTCGCAAGAATTACTTCTATGTTACGATTTTCAGATATAAAGTAATAATTATATGAATGTAAGTGTGGGCAGAAAGGTCATCCATTTCCCAGAACAAATATCTCAGTGCCTAAAATCGATCCATGCCGTGTTTTCATAGTTTAGTAACTTTGATTTTCTGGTTTTCTCAAGGCAAACAGTTAATTATAAATATTTCTTCTCTTAGGCTATGTTGATTGAAGTCCATGGCTTATTGCAATTTATAACTCTCTGGCAAGAAATACGTAGCACGGGTAAATTATATACGCTTACACGTCTCGCGTATTTCGAAGCGTTTCGATTGGTGTTCGTACCAACACCCAACAAAATTGTTTATGGGGCAATGGTCACAACATTGATGTATTTCTCCGATTTAGCCCAAAATCCTTTCACTTTTAAAACTACTGCTGATAACCGAGTCTTCCTTTATCAGGAAGGTATGGGGCGTACCGGACCATATGAAATAGTTTTTGGGGTAAGTTAAAACTGTTTAATTCTATTTGAAGAGAAATTCTGATATTTAAAAGATCGTTTATATTTGATTATTGAAAAATAATGTATTTTAAAAGAAGAATTTGCAAGCCTTAGACGAATTACCGTTTTCTGCCTTAATTTACATTACAGAAAATACAGTTATAATATATTTTCATGAGTTCATTCAAAGAAATGTCATCATTGGCTTTGATAGTATCACCAATGCTTATCATCTCTAAGCCCCAGCAACAAAGCTAACGTTTGACATTAATAAAGAAATAAACTCTATTCGGAATGAAGTCTTAGATTCGCCAAATATTTTTCATATCATATTGTCAAGCTTTATTAGCTGAAAGCATGACTATTCTATGAATGTGACTGGCACAGAGAACACCAATTAAATGAGGAACAAATCCATCCTCTTCCTTTTTTATTTTACTTTCTCTCTGGTTTTCAACACTTCTACAGTATCCATTGAGAAACATTTATTTTTTATTTTATTCAAAATGTTTCTAACATATTTTTACTACAAAACAATAATGAGATATTGAAAAGAATATTTATATTCTCTATCATTCTTAGCAACTGAAATTTCCATCGTTTACCC